TCGTTGCCTTAGAATTCTATATGTACTGTTAGAGATAAAATTACTTATAAAGCAAACCTTATCTATGTTGTTGAATGCCGATCTGGCCTCCAATGATGCCTGTCGAAGGAACGGGTATCGAATCCAGAAGTTCTAAACAAAACAGAATAATGTTTAAGAAATCTCTTCACATATTGAGCATGCCCTTGCTTCTTTGATGATCCTTCTGAAAGAAACCAGTTAAACCTACTTATGGTGAAGTTAATGCAACTTTTGCAGATATAGAAACTGAGGTAGCATTGGCATTCACGACGCTTAGGAGCTATAAGGACCGTCGTGCTTTTTACGAACACTGTTGGTGGTTTGATTTCTCCTATGGGAAGACTTGTGAGAGCCAGCCGATATTTGAGTCAGTGTTATCTCTCACACGAATCTATCCAACCACTCGAGTGGAAGACTTGTCTGATCTGGGCGATTCTCGATAAAAGGTTTGGCTCTGAACCATGCGCGTGCTACGCGGCGCCTTTCGCCGCCACCTCACTTGCTCCCCAAGCCTTACATAGATTAATTTGATTTAAGCTCTGATCTTGGCTAGAAACATTTTTGTATATATTTTCATGTCCAACCACCCACTTAATAATCATATTGAACTAGTCTACATTTGACAAAAATGGACTGTTGAATAGAAGGTCACAATCCTAAAGTGATAATAGATGTAACTAAAGGCAAACGGCGGGGTTACTGGTCGAGTTTGGTTTCTTCCCGTCTTATAAGCAGTTATACGCAAGCGAAAAGCATGTGCAGAAGTGAAGGGATAGTTTGACAAGGCTAAGGCGCTAACCAGGAGGTCTTTCAGGGCGTGCCAAGCTTTTTGAAAACGGTTTCTTTGCATGATAGGGGCACATGCGGGAACCACAGAACCATGGTTCATTTTTCCTGAACGGCCCTCTGAATACCAAAAAAGGGGGTCCCTAGTTCGATTCCTCGTGGTGACAAATTTTTGCATTTCGAGTTGGCGTTTCAGAATTTGCGCAAAATGGCGTCAGCGCCAAGACTGGATGTCATGTTCATATTGGAACCGTCAGCAACCCTTACAAATAGCTTTGACCAAAAACTGGTGATGGATTGTGACACCAAAACGGCACCGAATGGCATAATAGCGGCACAGATGACGTCCGCGCCAAAACGAATGTCATAATCGTAATCAGGGCACTGGATAACCCTTATAACCGAAGTTTCGGAGAAAATAAGATTTTGACCCAATTTCGAACAGTTGGACCATGGGTAAGTCAATAGCCGTCAGGCCTGACGGTGGATGATTTGATCGGTCTTCCTTGCCATCTATAATCGCACTCTAAAAATGGAAATCCTGACCTATAATGGCCAATGGCAGATACCCAAGCCGGTGCTAGCTGAGGGATCACGCACGACTATCGTCAGGTTCTCCTCCCGTCAAGTGGTGGCAGTTTAATTCTCGGCCCTACCTCTGACTGGGCCTGTTGTCGATTGCTAGATCGGCTTCAGAAGAATGCAACGAAGTGTGAGACGTGCCACATAGAGACAAAACCACGTTTTCCATGTTTGTCACTGAAGGGTACACCTAATTTTCCGCTCCGAGCTCGCCTCCATGCTGTCCGGGCACACACGTCGGGTTGTCCCTACTGCAGCCCAATTTTTCGAAGTTGGTCTAGATCTCTAGTCCCCAAAAACTTCGCTGCTGGGATCAAATTAGCACCCTGATCACGAAGATGGCATCCTTTTTTGGCGCCAGCGCAATTTGGCACCATCTTTGGGCCACGAGCTGTCGTGAGCTGTGAACCAACAACCCTTACTTCGCCGTGCCAGCAAAAGGAGATCACGGTATACACTAGGCCACTGTGTCCACCCGTACTACGGCACCGAATTCCACATGAAACCATGACACTTTTTTTCAGCACATATCTTGGACAAACGCATAATTTGGTCGAAGTTCGCGTCGTTTTCAGTATACGGATAGTGGAAACCGTTTGTTATGACCTCAGTCAACGTTGTGGACGATATGCGCCACAATGAAGCAGTAAAAACGACAGTTACCAAGTAATTTTTCTTCGCTCCTTTTTTGATATTCAGAGAGCCATTAGGAAAAATGAACCATAGTTTTGTGTTCTGCATGTGTCCCTATATCATGCAAAAAACCATTTTGAAAAAGCTTGGCACGCCCTAGACGACCTCCCTGGTAAGAGCCTGGGACGGAGCATTGGCGCCGCCCAACGCTATTGAGCCCGCCCACCGTACCACGTGCTTCCGAGCAACCACTTGGAACATTAGATGCTAAGCTGTTGTTTGCAGGAGAATAGGTTGTGGGAGGAAGTAATTTCAACACCATATGTGCTTGTCTTGAGAGGCAGACGGAACCAGAGAATAAATAACTATAATAAATAATAATAAATAGACTTTTTGCTTCAGCAGTGCGTGTCCGTTGATACCAGTTGCATCCACCCAGGCGTCTACAGCCCATATCTCAAAGTCTGATTAGGCGTGTCACCGTACAATGACGTGGCAGCCACCGCACTTGATAGAAGTCGCGCGGATAAGCCGCTTCCAACATACTTCACTGGAAATCAGCAAGACAGGCCAGAAGCCAATGCTTATGTGCGGTTGTATCCCTCGTTGACGCAGTCAACTTCTATTCGGAATCCTTCAAAAGTCTACTTGTCAGACATATCTGAAACCTTTACTGCAACGTTACCACCAGGATTTCTCCTCTTCTCATGGAGGATATTAATCGACTGAGGACGTTGTTTTCGCCTCTTCGAGGGCTCTCAAAAGGATAACAGGTCGTACAGGTGATAAAGGGCTGGCAAGGAACACGCTTATAGCGAAGGTTTTTAAAACACAGCATAATGGTTATTTTGTTCTAAAGAAGTAGGTCGCAGAACATCTAATGAGCTTACAGCAATCCACCAAGGCTGAGCCACGCATAACACTGCAGACAACACCACGAGGCACCTCATACTGAAAAACAGATAGTTTCTTTCGTCAGGTCAAATATTCGAATCATGCACAAACGCAAATGTGGTGTAAGGTATGACTGTTAACATTAATTCGTGACGAAGCATCAATGGCAGGTCCGAGTAGATCGTCGAGTAGATCGTTTGATCGGGACGGTAGTAACCTAGCCAATCTTGCACCTTAATGTTCAGCTATAACGAGCACGTAACGTGGAGGTGCAAGTTCTCCCGATGGTGGTGGAAATCGCTTCTATGGCACCTAGGAGACTATTTATGAACTCTTGAAGAAAGTTTCAGACCAAGGTGAGAGGAACAGCTCTTGTGCGAGTTGTGTTCTTGGTTACGGGCACGTAACGCGCAGTAGGCTCGCTGACAGAAAACGGGACGCGGAGGGGCGAAATACAATGCGTTTGGCGAGACGCAGGTGACGCCCGTTACGCGCAGCAAAAAGTCCTTCGGAGGACTTTTTTGGAGTTGGCCAACTTCAAACTGCCAGGTGTGTGGGTCAAAGCACGGTGTTGGAAAGGGAAAGGGAAGGCGCCTTGCATTGATTCGTCAGTGGTGTAGCGCCTGCGGTCACGTTGGTGTTGGATCGGTCACAGGGATCAGTTATTCGAGATGTCTGAAGGTTTGCAGACTATTCTACAATCTTTTCACTGTAGAAAAAACCGGCTCCTTACAATTAGTGCAGTGGTAGCGATGTGGCACATGGGACGGTGCACCAAAGGTTCAAACCCATGTGCGACGCAAGCTTTGCAGGCAAAGTGGTGGATGCTCACCATTTCCACCATGGCAAATTCCAATGGCTCAATGGGAACGTTCCACGCTGCCGCTGGCAAGGTTGCTGGATCAACACCGCTTGCAGTCTAAGATTTGCAAACAACATCCGTTGCTTACCTGTCATCAACATCTCTTCCAGTGGTGTGATCGAGTGATCCCTGGTGCAGTGGCAAAAACCGGCTATGATCCCACCCTCGAGTGTTCAAAAATGGTCATGTCCGTGTTTCCACGCTGCTTGTTCCTCGTCAATGGGGAAAAATCACCACATTTGATTGCTAGTTTAGGGTACTTTACTACCGTTCCAGATCTCTTCAACAACTCCAATATTTAGACTGATATCACTGAAAAAAAATCGAAGGGGATTGCACGATGAGCAAAGATCGAGGAAGGATATCGCTCTTCAGGGTGCGGACAGCCACGCAATCAGATTAAAGGACAGGCCCCGGTGGTCAAGCAGGGCCTTCCCGCGACCCATTTGCGCGCTATTGGCCCGGCACGCCCTCCCCCCTCTCGCATCGCTTCGTGTCTGAGTCTCTTGCCCTTCAGCAGAGAGAGCATTAGCGTTGAAGAGGGCAACACCGATAAGAGAGAGCCGCATCGAATGCGCAAATCATCGGACAAGGAAAGAGCCCCATTTCTCGGTTCTAGGCCATTCTCCGAAGCCCGATTTCTCGGTTCTGTGCCATTTATCTAAACTTTTCCTTCTTCCGTGC